TCAACATTTCATAATTATTATGTATAACTTTCTTTGTACTGGTATTTCTACATTCTAGATCCATCTACACCTTTTGCAGCAAGAGGGAGACATTCAGGCCCTAAAATTTTACTGGTAGTCAACATGAAATACTAGGAATTCAGCAGGTATGCCTGTGCAGTCCTTATGCCAGATTGAACCAGCAGGTAGGTTCTGACAACCTGATCATTCTGAAAGTGCTTTATTGACTGACAATTGTTTTCAGTAAACAAAATTCATTTTCTGTTTTGCACAGCCACCTTTGAGAGATGACAGAGGTATAACAGAACGTTATGAAAAAACATCTGCCTAATGTCAAAGTAGTACCCACTCACTCAGCAAACACTGTCATTGTCACTGGTGGATGCAGCCACTAGTCTGTCCTCTCAGCTGGTCTGTATTATAGGGACTAAAAGGAGAGGGCTAAGGCATCAGCAGTGGGTGGCACATGGGGCAGAAAGATTAGCATTAAATGTACACGTGCATTAGAAGAGATGTCATGGAAGTCTTGCTACCACAAAACTATTAAAATGTATATATGAAAATTAGTCTATCATAATCCTTTCTTTTGACTTGAAAAATATTCCACAACTTATACTGGACAAACTTACAGTAATGCCTTTTTTCCCAAACCAAAATGCAACTCGGGCACTAGATCGAATGGAAATACAAATTATTACTTAGCTCAGTTCTGATCTTACAGAGTCAACAAAATAAGAAAAGTAAGACCAGGACCTTAACAATAGGGAAAAAACTCAACTCAAATATAATCTGCATAACCCTGTTACGTAAAATCTAGTGCACTTGTATTGGTTTAGTAGGTTGTATTATGCTCCCTGGCTGCTTGCATTTAAGGAAGAATAACAAGGTATTTGATTTTAGCATGCAAAGATTACAAGAAATTGAAGATATAAAGCCTAAAGATACAAAGCAGGATGACAGGCATTTGAAAAGATGTTGCTCGGTCATTTTAAGCTATGAGAAATCCTCCCCTGCACAATAAGACTTCTTACTTTTCCTATTTTTTCCTGTAAATACTGTTATCTTCTCTTCTTTGTCCCAAAATTCACTACAAGTCCCATATGCTGTATCATGTTCAGAACCCCAAACATTTGGGTTTTATATATAAGGCCATGGTATTATTTGTGCTCTTGATTTAAATATTACAGAACTAAATTTTTAAATTTTAGATTCTTATATTAAAGAAAAATTGTTTCAAAATTTACAGTTGAAAAGTTTCTAGCAGCATATAATGCCATGAAATACTGTGGTGTTTCACTGACCTGGAAGCATCATATATTTCTGGGTACTCCACGTAGTAATAAGTATTAACCTAATTATCATTAAGGTTTCTTGCTTAAATTTCTGTTAATTACATTTTATAAAAGTTCAAAATATAAAAAGCTCATATACCAGCACAAATGCTTACAAATGCCTTTCATTTAGAGCCATTCGAAACCTGCAAAGACACTATCATGTCTAGCAAACTTCTGTTAGGAATGCCATCTTGTGGTTAAAAGCTGTACATAACGTTATTCGAGGTAATTTTAACCAGATTTGTACTTGCAAAATACTGTTTTTGCTAAAATGAGCAATTCATGTGTTACCTTTCAGAACTGTGTAGCATTATTTTATTAACCCTTCTGGAGGAAAACGGCTGTGAATATGGCTTTTCCTTCCTCGTGCAGGAAGGAGTAGTTTCAATAGGAGATGGGATGCATTTATTAGCATTTTAAACAGAACATGATTGTCACACGTACTTCCTAAAAAAAGTCCACTAAAAGCCTACCCTATTTAGATACAATTTGTGAATCAGTCTAAAATGTTTAGAAAAGACATTTTTCTCAAAATATGTTTTAAGGCAGAATCTTATGAGCACACTTTACCTTCTCCATGCTTTATGGAGAATCTTTGGTTGGTACGTAAAAGGTCAAGTTTATCTATAAAATTAAACCATTGGATTTTTCAATTAATCTTATAAAAATCTTACTATGAGCTGAAAATGAATTTTAAATTGACATTGGATTGCAACTTGCTCATGAAAGCAGAAAGAAATGCCAGGTAAACATGAACGGAATCAAGGGGTCCAAAAGCATCTAGTAAACTTTAAAAGATCTGTAACTTATAAAAGCTTTGAAAAATGAATTAGCTACATTCATTCCAGCTGACATTTGCATAGGCACTTTCCTACTGTGTATGTTCACCTCATTTTCATAATGAAAGTATATATTGCCCAAACCATTACAACACATATTGTATAATGAAATTTAAAACTAATGAGCCATATCCTAATAGCTATGAGTCAAGCCAGGGTGTGCATTAGTAGTCCATTTGCAATTCTCTAGAGACAGAAATAACAAGGCTGAACATATCCAGTAGCCTATTTAGCACACAACTTGTTCTGTGTACTGATAACACTACAGTAGAACCAAAATGAGTTCACAACCTCAGGCACACAAACCTCTGGGAAATACTGTCCATACTTTTGTTTGCATGCAAGCTACTCCTGGGACAGCCAAACAGGACTGCCGCGGTTGTTCAGTTTGACCTCTTGCAGAACATGGATCTGACCCACCTGAATAAGTCTTTTCTATCAAATCACATCTTTTCAGGCAATGATCTAACACATCCATAGTAGAGAAACCTTTATCATTCTGTTACATGCCTTTCTCTCTTCTTGTAACATCTCTAACTTCTACTTAAAATTGCTGGATCACTCTTTCTCTGCTAGATGGAACAGAACTTCATTTTATTATCAAATTTATGCTCCAAAGACGGTTTGTCTCTTTCACTGAACTACATACATTCTGTTTACTTAGAGATTCTCATGCCAGTACTTCTTTTTAATCCTTTTATTGCTCTTTTCTTTTCTGTCCGATTTGCCAGCACTACTGAAAATTGTAATTATCGGAGAATTTTCCAGTACTTAAATGGTGGCTAGAAGGAGGACAGACACTCTCTCTTCCCAAGGAGCCACATGGAGATTATAAGGAAAAACGGGTATAAGTTGCACCAGGAAAAGTTTCATCTTGATATAAGAAAGAAATTTTCACAGTGAGAAACTCAATCACTGGAATCCTCCTCAGGAATGTGGTAGAGTCCACACTGAGGGAGGTTTTTAAGACATGACTGGGCATCATGCTAGATAATCTCATCTGGGCTCCTCTTCCCAGGAAATGTTGGACCAGATGATGTTTTGAGGTCCCTTCCAGTCTGGGCTGTTCTATGATGCTGTGAAAATAAAAATTAAAAATTATTTTCCAAAGTTACTGCAGAAAAAGTCAATGAGGACAGAGCAGAGAGACCTAGAAAGATCCTAAAAAGGCAGCCAAGAATGGCAGAATCTAGAAAGCTCTTAGGTCACACCTTTTGTACCAGCCACGTGTAATTTTATAGTATAATGTGCTCACTGTGGCAAAAGCACATCATGCTTGGGTCTTTTACCTTACAGTGAAGAAGTGACAATTTGTTAGAACAATTTGCTACATGGTGTCTTCTTAATTTCTAATGTGGCACAAAGTATAGACATCCAGAGGAAGCTGAGGGATATGGCAACAGTTCAAAGCTCCAAATGAGTCCTGACATCTAGGAGATACTGCTTCTTTAAGAGGGAAAAAAATGTTATCAGTTACCAACTCTCTTGCCAATACTTTTCCTATTTGTAACTTGGTGGGAACCACAACCTCCCATAACTATACATCCTCACATCTGATGACTCTCAGCTCTTTACCTGTAACCACATGCCATTCAAAACTTGCCAATATATAATGTTATCAATTCTCTTAGTGTGAAATGTAATTATGTTTTACACCTTGCCAAATATAATCTACAGTTAGCAGAGCAAGTCTGTCCACAACCACATATAAGTTCCTAGGGCAATCTGCTCTATTTCTTCCTGATGCGAAAAGCCAATAAAGACCCTGTTATTAGCAAAACCAGACTGCTAACACAGATCTATTTTATGTTACAGAATTAATACCTCTGATGCTATCACACTTCTTAGACACTGGAATTCATCCTTCACTTTCTTTGACAAGAAGCCAAGCATTTTAGGAAGCTTCTTTCTTATACTAATTCATGCAAACTATGAGCAGAATAGAATGTCAAGGAACTTAATTCAAGAAAAACATGAAAACAGAATTAGAACAAGAGAGCTATATGACCTCTGAAGTAAATATATTCTAAAAAACTTAAGAATGCAAAAAATAAACATAAATAAAAGGTGAAGTCTGGTTCTTATTTAAGGAGACTGCTGCTACGACTAGGAAATTCTTCTGTGTTATTAAAACAGGATTCTAAGTTGAATGATCATATAGAAAAGACCTAGGAAAGAGACAATAACATACTGGAGGCAGAGTCACATCTCAAAAATTATTCAAAATATTGAATTAAGGATTCTATTTTACACAGGAAAATATCTAGGGGGGAAAAAAATACATCAAAAACAAAACAACCAGATTTTTTTACATAAATGCTAGCCTCACAATACATAAATGCATTATATAAGAAAATAACATACCACAAAATAGAATGGTTGAAGGACTAACAATACAAGTGTACTTGAATTTTAGTAGTGAAATCAACCCTTATTAGTAACATATGAACATCATTACAATATATTCTGTTTCAGTGCCCTAAGTTAAGAGAGTTAAAGTTTAACTAATCACCTACTGACCAAATGATCACATCATTCCTGTAACAAAGCAAGAGCTAATAGTTTCATAAAGGTCAGACTTCATTACCTTTCTCCTTCCATGGAGGATGCTTCAGGCTAATGAAGGAGACAGCACTATCACGGAAAGTCTGCTCTACTGCTGGCTCTACTACACACCACCTGCAAATTAGTATTCTAGTCCTCTATACTGTCAAATCAGAACCTTTCACCACTACTAGACATGTGCCACTTACAAACACTGTTGAAAACTTCAAGTATACAACTCCATGCATTGTGCTGTGGACTGAATACAGGCCAGATGATCGTGACTTTATTAGAACATACAGATTGCTGAGAAGGTACCTCAATTGACATAGTGGACCTCTGATCAGTTGCTCAGAAAACTTTCATAAAATGATTTTGAATTAAGGTTTCTATACGGGACATCAGCATACTCATATCAGCAGCACAGACTTGGTGATCCTCATTCCCCTTCTTTTTCAGGGTCTCTAAAAGGCCCCAGTGGACTGGAGGCAGAGGGCTGTAAGAACTCAGCAAGTGAAGCTGACTTAATGGATTCTGTTTTATTTCTGCAATCCTCAAGGCCTTCAAGATAGCAGGTGCAAACTTAGAATAATGAGCTGTAGATGAAATAATAATTGGGCAAGTTCTATCTTGCAATCGATCTGCAACTACTTTAGCAACAGCTGTGTGTGTATCCAAAATATATCCTGTAGTGCTGTATACAGAGTGAATAGCAGCTAGACAGTCCTCCTCAGAGCACCATCCAGCCACCAAATCTTGCTGCAGCTTTTTAAGTAAATCATTCTGTAGCTGGAAGTGGCCCTGATTTTCCAGCTGGTTATAGAATTGTGTCACTAGTTGTCCATTCCCATTAGCAATCAGGTGCAAGTATCGCTCAAGGTTGGAGGACTTCAAAATGTCTACTGCAGGTGAAAAAGTGGGAATTAATTTTCTTCCCCTCAAATCATACACACCTGTTCTTATGAAGTCAGTCAAAACATTGTTTTCATTGGAAGCACAAACACATTTTCTAATAGGAATTCCCATCAATTTAGCATACAAAGCAGCTAATATGTTGCCAAAGTTTCCTGTAGGAATGCAAACATCTACAGGGCTTCCAAAAGGAATAATCTCTTGACGAACAAGATCAAGGTATGCAGAGGCATGATAAACTATCTGAGGAAGGAGTCGTGCCCAGTTTATGGAGTTTGCTGCAGCCAAAGCTGTTCCATATTCTACTGTTAGAAAGCCAGTATAATCAGAATTAGTAAAGATTTGCTTTATAGCTGTCTGGCAAAAATCAAAATCAGATTTCACACCTACTGACCAGGCATTTTCTTTCTGACTGCCAATCATCTGTGACTTTTGAATTTGGCTTACTCCATCCTCAGGAAAAAAATTAATCACAGCAATTCTCTGTTTGTCAGTGTCATGGAGACGACTAAAGCCATCTAAGACAGCACTCCCTGTGTCACCAGAAGTAGCTACCAGAACCAAGTAATTGCAGCTTCTGGGAATGCAGTATGCAAATATATGTGGCACAATCTGTAATGCAAAATCTTTAAATGATGCTGTTGGTCCATGAAATAACTCGAGGAGAAACTGATTGCCTGCCAGATGCCTAACTGGGGCAACTTTAGAACAAGTGAAGTTTTCTCCATAAGCAGTTCCAGTAATTTCTGCCAGTGCAGAAGCAGGAATATCTGCAGGATGTATGCAACTTTCTAGTATCACCTGGGCTCTTTCAACATAAGTTGCTTCTATTAGGCTTTGCCATTCTCCAGCAGTGAATTTTGGAAGGCCTCCCTCTGGAACAAAGAGTCCTCCATCGGGAGCTAAGCCCTCAGTAACAACGTCACTGAAATATTTTCTAGAGCCTTTTTCCATACTCCTTCCAGACCTGGTAGACCTAGTTGAAATGAAAGTTTCCAGCTCTGAGTTTTGGTATCTCTTCACAGCATGAAGCACCTTTTCTGCTACAACTTCTGCTGCAATATCCCCTCCACAAAGAACACGGATGTCGTACCACCTTCTGTAGAACTGCTTCCTAAACTGAAGTATGTCCTTGAGAGAAATACCAGGAGACTGGCCCACGATGCGATCCACTTTCATTGATTTCAGCCTGCTCATAATGACTGTTGTGGGCACATCCAAATATACAACTATACCATCTTTCTTTATATGCTGCATACCAGCAGCATGCATTGGATTAGACCCAGTAAGGGAAATGACACTTCCAGATGCTGAAAACTTCAACAGGGCTTTTCCTTCCTCCTCTACAAACTGCTCATTACCCACATCCTGCAGTTTTTCCGACACACTCATATTCCACGTTGCTTCAAGGACATCGTCATCTATGTCTATGACAGGGCAGTCAAGTTTCTGACCTACTATTCTCCCAACTGTTGTTTTCCCAGCACCCGGAGGTCCCATGAGGATAATATTTTTGTTTCCGACAAGAGAATGGCTTGACAACCATGACTTACACATGTGTGCAAATGCAGCAGGTCTGGAAAGCATGAGTTTTAAACACATACTAGGAAGAATGCTTTGGGTTATTAGTCTTAAAGGCCGATACTGAACAACGTGAAACATCATCTTCTGCTGGGTTGTTCTGGTCCCTTTTCAAGCCAAATTGACAATCCACTTAACTGCTACAAAAAGAAAAAAACAAAACCGTAATTAGTTCTTCAGCAAACGACTAGGAAAAAAACTCTAAAGAATATGAAATTCAGAACAATCAGAATTCAAACATAAATCCAGTTATGCCTTTATCTGTGCCAGGGAGATATTTTTCAGAATAAGACTCATTCCCCTTTCTTCCACAGTTCCAGGTTGCTTCTACTGACACATCCAAATTCAAACAGTCCATGTTCTCACAGGAAACAGACATCCAAATCTAACACTACAATACCATTTGCAAGTAATATTGTTTATAGGAATTCAAAACCAAATAGTTTTTTCCTCTAGCAGACTTGAAGCACACATTTACAAATAATGAAGATTAACCATATTGTCATCAAAATGTTAACAACATATGCATTTTTCCCACTTCCCAAGATGTGTTTGACTTCCTACATTTTCTTTATAAAAAAGCAACAAATGTAAGACAGACTTAAATACCCAGAAAACTCACAGACTTGTGCAACAGCAAGGCTAGAAGAGTTGCACCCAATTCTCTCCTGACAGGATGGCAAATGCAGCCATCTGTGAAGAACTCCTATAATGGAACTGTATTGAGTGTAGTTTGTGAAAGAGATAGAGAGAGCACATCATGAAGATACTCTACTCTCAAAAAGAAAATTACTAAGAAAGTCAAATCACCAACAAATATTAAGCTAGAAGCTCTCAACATGGTATTTTGGCATCAGCATGAATTGCAGCACTTGATTTTTGCACAGCTGCTGGACACAGCACCTGGATTTGCTTTATGAATTTAAGTAGGCCACGGGGCCTTAAATCACCCCAAATTACAGATGCAGACAGGAAAGAAACTAGACCCATATTTCTCTAGTTATAAGCTTACCATGTGTACATGAAGTCATAAGAAGTCAACTGGTGCAAAAAATTTGCTGGGAAATTCTTTATTCAGCTGCTCAGTTGATTTCATCTATTCCAGCATAATTTAATTTTTCACCTATATAAAGTACAGCTATACAGAAGCTTGCAACCATAGATTTCAAACATCCAGTAAGAAAAAAAAAATATTTTTTTTACTCAGTTGGCAAAAACTCATTGTACAAACAGCTCAAATTAGACTTTATACCTTCTAGAGTTTAGCACTGTAGTTAGAACACCAAACCACGCAACTTTAGATATAGCTGATTTGCCCAAAAGAGCGGGTTTATTTTTTTTGGCAGAGCTTACACCTGGACAGACCATGAAATCTTTTGGCTATGCACCTTGACCCTTTGCTTGGACTGCTGACAGCACCTATGTATCATCAGCAAACATCCACAGTTTTAACAACTACTGCTGATGACAAGAATTACAGAGAAAACTGAACTTTGCTACGGTTATAGACACAAAGTTTACAACAATATAATGTATGGTTGAAATTCAGTAACCAAACAAGTCGGTGCCACTACGCTGCTGTCAAAGGCCTCGAGGAACGTCAAGGCTGATAACTGTATTTCAAAACCGCTCACACAGGGCACCTGCTGCTTGACTGTGCTCAGAGCTTTCATGCCGAGAAAAAAACAAAATAAAAATCCAACCATGCAACTTCAACATCCTCGCAATGATCCCACGGACCGAGGCCCTGCAAACGCTCCCGCCTTATGGCCGCTCTCCCGCCTCGCCGTTTGGATGCCCCGAAGGTGCCACATGGCGGGTGGGAGGAGGGAGGGGCCAGTGAGGCTGCACTGCACGGCGAACACGCAGTCCCTGCCCACCCGGCCTGCCCCCCCGGCTCCCACCTCCCAGCAGGTGCGGGAGCAGCCCCCCTGCCCTGTCCTTCCTGGCCTTGCTCTTCCCTTGCCTGCCCTGCCTGGCCCTTCCCTTCCGTACCCTGCCCTTCCCTTCCGTACCCTCCCCTCCCCTTCCTTACCCTGCCCTCCCCTTCCTTTAGCCTTGCCCTCCCTTCCTTCCCCTCCCTTCTTTCCCTTTCCTTCCCTTCCTCCCCCTCCCCTTCCCTTCCTTTCTCTTCCTTCCCCTCCCTTCTTTCCCCTTCCCTTCCTTCCGTTCCCCTTCCCTTCCCTTCCTTGCCCTGCCCTGCCCTTCCTTGCCCTGCCCTTCCTTGCCCTGCCCTTCCCTTCCTTACCCTGCCCTCCCCTTCCCTGCCCTTCCCTTCCTTAGCCTTCCCCTCCCTTCCTTA